GCATTTCAAATATATGTCAATATATTTAGGAAGAATATTTTTAAAATATAATTCAAATATATTTTTCTTCCATGTGGATACCCTCTAACAATGTAGGATCTAACTCGTCGCTTGACCCAATGATAATGTTTGTATCATCACAATATCCTGTTGGGTTACAAACGGTCGACGCGTTTCGCTGATGCGTATAGCTACTTTGGGGCCGGGTTTTGTAGAGGGGAACAGAACAAATGTCACCAAACAGAGAAATAACCACACGTAGGTCCATACTGTAGGATACAATACGGGGATACAATACATAGAGAAGTGCTCGGCTCACACAGGTACAGCGGTGACCACATACAATCCAACTCTTCCTGGGGGGGGGGGGGGGGGGGATTACAGGTACACAATGAAAGGAGGCGGGATACCAATCATGTGTGTTAGATGGGAGGTTTGTGCATTAGAATGGGGATTATGAAGGGGGGGGGGATTTGTTCTAGGAGAAGGAATGGGGAGATGTGTGCTAGGAATAGGAGGGAGGTTTTGGGGGGGGGGGGGGTGTGTTGGGGAGGATTTGTACTAAAAGTAAGGGGTTGGGTAAGTTGGATGGATTTGTTGCTGGGAAGGGTAACTTTCAGGGGTGTTAGCTAGAGGAGGGATTTGGGGGAATTCATCCTAGGCGGGAGGATTGAATGAGGAGGATTGGTGCTGGGAGGGAGGATTGGGGGAGGGATTTCTGCTAGGAGGAGGGGTGGGGGGTAGGGGGAATCTATACTAGTTGTGGTGATGGGGAGGTAGGAGGAATTTGTGCTAGAAGACAAGACTGGGGGGAATTTGTGCTAGAAGAGGGGATCGGGGAGAATTTGCACTAGGAGGGGAGGGGGGGGGGTAGGGGGAATCTGCACTAGAAGGGGGGATGGGGAGGTAGGGGGAATTTGTGCTAGAAGACAGGACTGGGGGGGAATTTGTGTACTAGAAGACAGGACTGGGGAGGAATTTGTGCTAGCAGAGGGGAGGGTGGGGGGGATTGTGCTAGGAGAGGGGGAGTGGAGTGGATTTGTGCTAGGAGTGGGGATTGGGGGGGGGGGGAGTTGTTGCATGGAGGGGTGGTGGAAGGATTTGTGCTGGGAAGGGTAATTTTCAGGGGGTGTTAGCTAGAGAAGGGATTTGGGGGAATTTGCCCTAGGCAGGAGTATTGGTGCTGGGAGGGAGGATTTGAGCTAGAAGGGGGAGTGGGGGGTAGGGGAAATCTGTACTAGGAGGGGGGATGGGTAGGAAGGAGGAATTTGTGTAGAAGACAGGACTGGGGGGGAATTTATGCTAGGAGAGGGAATTGGGGGGTGGGGGAATTTGTGCTACTAGAGGGGATTGGGGGGGGGGGAATTGTGCTAGAAGAGAGGGAGTGGATTTGTGCTAGGAGGGGGGATTTGGGGGGGGGGATTGTGCTAGGAGGGGGGATTGGGAGGGGTTGTTGCATAGAGGGGGTTTTATGGGGGGGGGGGGGGTGGAAGGATTTGTGCTGGAAAGGGTCATCTTCAGGGGTGTTAGCTAGACAAGGGATTTGGGGGAATTTGCCCTAGGCAGGAGTATTGGTGCTGGGAGGGAGGATTTGACCTAGGAGGGGGGTGTGGGGGTTAGAGGAAATCTGTACTAGAAGGGGGGATGGGGAGGTAGGAGGAATTTGTGCTAGAAGGGGGATGGGGAGGTAGGAGGAATTTGTGCTAGGAGAGGGGATCGGTGGGGAATTTGTACTAGGAGGGGGGATGGGGGGTAGGGGGAATCTGCATTAGATGCGGGGATGGGGAGGTAGGGGGAATTTGTGCTAGGAGAGGGGGGAGTGAAGTGGATTTGTGCTAGGAGGGGGGATGGGGGGGAATTGTGCTGGGAGGGGCAATTGAGAGGGGTTGTTGCATGGAGGGGGGGTTTACTGGGGGGGGTGGAAGGATTTGTGCTGGGAAGGGTAATTTGGAGGGTGTTGTGCTAGGAGGAGGGATTTAGGGGGGATTGGGATTTGTTATAGGAGGCAGGATTGGGGGGATTTAGGCTGGGGGGGGGGGATTTGGGGGAGAGGATTTGTGCCAGGAGGGGTAGAGGTAGAACTACAGGTGAAGTTTTATTTATTTATTTTTTGGGGGTGTGAAAGTAGCTGGTCTTTCCTAGGGCGGAAAATAGTCTAGCACCGGCCTTGATTACATCCCAAACTTGGGGGGGGGGGTGAAGGCTCCACCTACTGTATGTTGTTTTCCCAATTAATCAATGAGGCTGTTTTATGTGATAGGTAACCAAATATTGGTATGGGATGGATATGACCCCCCCTCCCCCCTCCCCTCCAGTAGTAGAAAAGCATATTTTTTTCAAACTATATAAGGGGGGGGGGGGGGGGAAGGTTTGAAAGAAATCTGATATGTAAAAGAATGTCTGATCTGTAAGATCGAGATCTTTCCCCGTCTCTGTTTTCTGTCATTTCTGAGCATCTGTCAGGGATCCGGGTATGACCAGAGATGTGTGGGAACACAGGTGTAGTCAGGGCTGGAGAGTTGGAATGGTCAGGCAGGCCGTTTGGTATTGTTAAGCACCGCCTGGCGGCGTCTCTAGCAGCCCAAAGCACGGGGTTCCTCAGGGTGCGGGGTCTAAGTCCCAATCTGCTTATTCACCAGGGCCCCTGATGGTGGGGATGGACTTGGAGCAGACTGAGACCAGGTCACGACCCCTGAGTACGTCCGGCAATGGTAGAGAGTGTCGTCAGAGGTGTGCGGGGAAAGGAGCCTGATGTGAAGAGGCTGGCAGACCTGGTAACAGGGACAGATCCATGCAGGATGGATGGATGGATCGTCTGGGTAGCGTAAGGCATAGTCAGGCAGGCCAGGTCAGCAACGTGCGGGCAGCGAGGTACCGAAGGAGCAGGCAGAGAATGGTCAGGGTCATTAGCCGGGTTCAGTAACTCACGGGCAGCGCGGTACAGAGGATCAGGCAGAAGGATGGTCAGGCAAGCCAGGGGTTCAACAGGAGATGGTCAGCAGGGTCAGGAACAATGCAGAGGTCGGCAATAGAAGACTCACAGGATACCAGGTACAGGGGCTCATGGGAAACATACACCAAGGCATTGACTGCAGGTCTGGCCATTCCTTAAATACACCTCCTGCAATCAGCCCCAGGTGATGGCTGATTGCAGGAGTGAGCTTCTGGCTGCTGAGAGCACCCGTTGGTCAGCCCTGGTACTGCAGCCCACATGGCAGGTGAGTCCCACCACCAGTGCTGAGTCCATTCCTGACAGCATCTATAAAGACTGAGCCGTCTCGGAGATCCTGCAACGTAAATATGGAATTGTGAGGCCACCAGGAATAATGATTTCATTGGATGAAAGATCGATGTAAAACAGGAAACACTTAAATAGAATGTCAGAGGTAAGACAGGGGATGCGGGATCGAACTTCTTGTGGTGCACTCAATCCATTTAGGCATCTAGACGGGGTGAAGACGACTTGCTGAAGTTCAAACCAAGCGTCAAAATGGGGAAGAAAGGGGATTTAACTGACTTTGACCATGGCATGGTTGTTGGTGCCAGATGGGCTGGTCTGAGTATTTCAAAAAAACTGCTGATCTACTGGGACTTTCCCGCACAACCATCTCTAGGGATTACAGAGAATGGTCCGAAAAAAGAGAAAATATCCAGTGAGCGTCAGTTGTGTGGAGGAAAATGCTTTGTTGAGGTCAGAGGTCAGAGGAGAAGGGGCAGACTGGTTGGAGATGATAGAAAGGCAACAGTAACTTCAATAACCCCTCGTTACAACCCAAGGTATGCAGAATACCATCTCCCAACATGTCCAACCTTGAAGCAGAAGGACTACAGCAGCAGAAGACCACACTGGGTGCCACTCCTGTCAGCAGAAGACCACACCGGGTGCCACTCCCGTCAGCTATGAACAGGAAACAGAGGCTACAATTCGCACAGGCTCACCAAAATTGGACAATAGAAGATTGGAGAAACGTTGCCTGGTCTGATGAGTCTGGATTTCAGCTGCAATAAGCTGATGATGATACCATCTCTGAACGCACAACACGTCCAACCTTGAAGCAGATGGGCTACAGCAGCAGAAGACCACACTAGTGCCACTCCTGTCAGCAGAAGACCACACTGGGTGCCACTCCTGTCAGCAGAAGACCACACTGGGGGTCATTCCTGTCAGCTGAGACCACACCGGGTGCCACTCCTGTCAGCTGAGACCACACCGGGTGCCACTCCTGTCAGCAGAAGACCACACTGGGTGCCACTCCTGTCAGCAGAAGACCACACTGGGGGTCACTCCTGTCAGAAGAAGACCACACTGGGGGCCACTCCTGTCAGCAGAAGACCACACTGGGGGTCACTCCTGTCAGAAGAAGACCACACTGGGGGCCACTCCTGTCAGCTAAAACATTTTGACATAGATAGCAAAACCTATTTGGGGTCCCAGTACTTGGGATAAAAAAAGAGAAAATAATTTTGTGACACTATTTGAAATAGTATTAATTATGGGAAATATGTTGCTGATTAATCAAAATAAAATGACAAAAAATAATAATAAATTACAAATAATAAAATTATTTGTTTCACATTTTTGTACATTTTTCATCTTTAAAAGAAAACAATCTTATCTGGGTATTTATGAGAACCTCGTGTGAGTTAAAGATGCATGAAGTTGTATGTAAAAATTATGGTTAGCAAAATAGTCAGTTATTTTGAGGTTAACCAAAGGATATTGAAAAATGCTACATTTCGGTCTGTGGGGTTTGCAATGACCCCCCGGGTCATATCAGGGTAAGTACAACTATGAGCCCCTGAATGTTTACATTTTATAAAAGACAATACTGAATTTTTTAATCAACTGAAAATGGCCCAGGAATACAAAAATGATAATGATATCACGATGATATTTTCAACACGATGCCTGGATCAACCTCAAGTGATAATAAGACCTCATAAGTGCCTCCATGAGATCTTTGTTCCTCAGGCTGTAGATCAGAGGATTCAGCAATGGGTTAATGAGGGCAGATATGACTGAAAACGTTTTTTTCTAAATTGACCATATTGCTGGAAGATGGAACCAAGTAAATGAAAATTAAGGAGCCATAAAAGATGAAGACCACGGTGAGGTGTGAGGTGCAGGTGGAGAATGCTTTCCTCTTTCCTGCCTTACTATGAATTCTGAGGATGGTACTGAAAATATAGACATATGGAAGAAAGGTCAAAAGAAAGGCTCCCAGTCCAACACTAGCACCTTCTAGGAATAAGACCACCATGTTTATGAAGGGGTCAGTACATGTAATCTGATATAAGTGTGGAAGATCGCAAAAGAAGTTTTGGATGGAAGATGTTCTGCAGAAGGACAACCTGAGCAAAAGTAAAGCATGAACCAAAGCATTTGTACATCCAGCAACCCAGACCATGGAGGCCATATAGGCACAGACCCTCCAAGAAATAATTAGTTTGTAATGTAGGGGGTGGCAGATGGCAATGTAGCGGTCGTAGGACATAGCCGAGAGCAAGAAAATTTCTGAAGAAAGAAAAGAGAGGTAGAAAAAGACTTGGGCTATACAGGCAGGAATGGATATTGATCGGCTCTTCATGGCCAAGTCATAGAGCATCCTCGGTGCGGTCACTGATGAATAGGACATGTCCACAAATGCCAAGTTGGCAAGAAAAAAATACATTGGGTTGTGCAGATGGTGGTCAGTGAGGACCAAGAAAAATATAAGGAGGTTTGTGATAAGAGTCATCAGATAGATCAGAAGGAAAAGCCCAAAAAGTGCATTCATGGTCAGTGGATGGTCTGATAGACCTACAAGGGTAAAAGAGGAAATCTCTGTCTGATTCCTCATATTTTTCTGTTTTTCTTCTCTGTTTATATTTATCACTATAAAACAATAATACTATTATGGATCTGAGGATTTAATAATTGGAAACACGTACGGTGTGTCCATACATTACACTCAGGTGTACATGTAGGCGTCTAGCAGCTAATGACTTCTTCTTATATAAAATGTTGTCAGTCCCTCAGGACCATCTGCTGTGTTGAACTCAAAGTTGAATGTCTCATTTAAGGTCTCTTAGGAGTCAATTTATGACCCCTTGGGAGCCCCTTTTCTACAACTAAGAACAGTCTTTAAAATCAGAATTAAAAATCCATTGGCTAGTGAACTAAAACGATATAAAAAGAATGTATAGTTTAGTTCCATATATAGTTCAAACCTCCATACATACAGCACCACTCCAGACTACATTGTTACATAGTTAGTCTGGCTGAAAAAAAAAAGACAAAAGTCCATCTAAGTTCAACCATTAAAAAAAAAAAAAAAAGTTATGCTCCTACACCCACAGTTGATCCAGAGAAGGCAAAAAAAAAACCCCAGCAAAGCACGATCCAATTTGCTCCTGCAGGGGAAAAAATTCCTTCCTGATCCCCTGAGAGGCAATTGGATATTCCCTGGATCCACTTTCCCTATAAATGTTATATCCAGTTATATTCTGTGTATTCAAGAAAGGATCCAGGACTTTCCTACAGCAATCCACTGAGCTGGCCACAACCAACTCTGGAGGGAGTCTATTCCACATTCTCACAGCTCTTACTGTGAAGAAACCTTTCCGTGTTTGGAAATTACATTTCCAAATCTACTGCCTCATACAATCTCTTTGGGTGTTTAGGGTTTTGGTTCAAAAAGCCCAGCTCTGCTTATTCTTGGAAAATGTAGATGAATAGGAGCCGCACACCAAAGGATATCGTCCTGCTTAGTGAACCATCCATAGTACCGTATATCTCCTTCCATGAGGTCATTGCTCAGAGGTCACCTTGCCTTGATGCCCTTAACCAAAATGGCTTGAACATAATGGAAGTAGCTATATTATGGCCAGGGGCGTCCCTAGGCAGGTGTGGGGGGTGTGCGCTGCACCGAGTGACACCTTTTGCATGGGGTGACACCGGACCCACTCCACCAGGGGCAGACTGTCTGTGGGCCCAGGGTCACTATAGGGCCCCATGAGAGGCTCAGTCCATCCCTGCTGCTGAAATAAGCAAGCATTGAGGGGACGGACAGTGAGGCAGGCACTTCGGACACCTCTCCTCCTCGGGGTTTCAGCAGAGGGCCGGGTCCACATCCCTGCCATGGGGGCTGAAGTCCGAGAGCTGGAGGGGTGGGCAGAGTATGCAGCAGGTCAGTGTAATCCCCGGACCCCGGTGACAGCACTGCAGATTCATGTAGTAGTTAGGGGGGAGAGAGAGAGAGAGAGGGGGTGAGAGAAAAGCATAGAGAGGGGGGTGAGAAAGAGGGCATAGAGAGGGGGGGGAGAAAGAGGGCATGGGGGGGGAGAAAAGAGGCATGGGGGGGAGAAAGAGGGCCTAGAGAGAGAGGGGGGGGAGAGAAAGAGGGGGGCATAGAGAGGGGGGGGAGAAAGAGGGGGGAGACAGAGAGGGGGGGGGAAAGAGGGCATGGGGGGGAGAGAGAAGGGGGGGGGAGAAAGAGGGCATAGAGAGAGAGGGGGGGGGGGAAGAGGGCAGAGAGAGAGGGGGGGGGGGAAGATGAGCAGAGAGAGAGGGGGGGGGGGGGGGGAAGAGGGCAGGGAAGAAAGAGAAGAGAAAGAGGGCAGAGGGGGGGGGGAGAAAGAGGGCATAGAAAGAGGGCAGGAGAGGGGGGGAGAGAAAGAGGGCAGAGAGGTGGGGGGGGGAGGAAAGGGGGGCAGAGAGGGGGGGAGAAAGAGAGGGTAGAGAGAGGGGGGGAGAGAAAGAGGGCAGAGAGAGAGAGAGGGGGGGGAGAAAGAGAGAGAGAGAGAGAGGGGGTGTCACCAAGTGTTCCAGCACCGGGTGACACCAACCCTAGGGACGCCCCTGATTATGGCTGGTTCAATAGAGAACACTTAAAGCGGATTTCCGGTTCTGCCCCCCCCCCTTTAAAAAAAAAAATTAAAAGTCAGCAGCTACAGATACTGAAGCTTTTGACTTTTAATATTAGGGCACCTCCCTGTCCAGGGATCCAGCGGTGTCCTCATCCCAAAATAATTCTTCAATCGGCTGTAGGGTGCTTGAGCCGCCATCTTAACTAAGGGAAACTGGCAGTGAAGCATTGCAGCCTCACGGGCACTTCCCTACTGCGTATGCGCTTTGTGAATGGGATGCAGTCCGCTGGGACCTTTTGAGGTTCCTGGAGGGGCTGGGGGGGGGGGGGAAGCTGAACTTCCGTCTCAGTTCTCTGCAGTGAACTGAGCCAGAAGTGGGAACTGGTACCTGTCAAAACCAGGTATCTCCCCCCTTCCCCCCAAAAAGGTGTCAATCTGGCAGCTGAGGGGGGGAGGGGGGGGCAGATAAATGGAGCTTCCACTTTTGGGAAGAGATCTTTGGTTACTATTCATCTATACTCACCGGCCACTTTATTAGGCCCACCTTGATAGTCCCGGGTTGGACCCCCTTTGTCTTCATTCTTCGTGGCATAGATTCAACAAGGTGTTGGAGACATTCCTCAGAGATTTTGATCCATATTGACATAAGTTCCTGTTGCCTTTCTATCATCTCCAATCAGTCTGCTCATTCTCCTCTGACCTCTGACCTCAACAAGGCATTTTCCTCCACACAACTGCCACTCACTGGATATTTTCTCTTTTTCGGACCATTCTCTGTAAACCCTACAGATGGTTGTGTGGGAAAATCCCAGCAGATCAGCAGTTTTTGAAATACTCAGACCAGCCCATCTGGCACCAACAGCCATGCCACGTTAAAAGGCACTTAAATCCCTTTTCTTCCCCATTCTGATGCTCGGTTTGAATTTCAGCAAGTCGTCTTCACCACATCCAGAAGCCTAAATGCATTGAGTTGCTACCCTGTGGTTGGCTGATTAGCTATTTGGGTTACCAAGCAATTGAACAGGAGGACCTCATAAAGTGGCCGGTGACTGTATATACTACTATAAAAAGGGCAGCACAGTGGCTAAGTGGTTATCACTTCCACCTGGCAGAGCTAGGGTCATTTGTTTGAAAACCAACCGTGGCACCACCTGCTTCGAGTTTGCATGCTCTCTCTGTGCCTGTGTGGGTTTCCTCTTGGTACTCCAGTTTCCTCCCACACTCCAAAGACATGCTGGTAGGTTAACTGGATCCTATCTAAATTTGCCCTAATATATGTATGTATGAATGTAAGTTAGGGACCTTAGACTGTACACCCCTTGAGGGTTAGGGACTGATGGGAATGTACACTATATTGCCCAAAGTATTCAGCCAGCCCTCCAAATCATGTGATTCAGGTGTTCCAATCCCCTCCATATCATGTGATTGCAGGTGTTCCAATCCCCTCCAATCATGTGATTCAGGTGTTCCAATACCTTCCATATCATGTGATTCAGGTGTTCCAATCCCCTCCCAATCATGTGATTCAGGTGTTCCAATACCTTCCATATCATGTGATTCAGGTGTTCCAATCCCCTCCCAATCATGTGATTCAGGTGTTCCAATCCCCTCCATATCATGTGATTCAGGTGTTCCAATCCCCTCCATATCATGTGATTCAGGTGTTCCAATCCCCTCCATGGACACAGGTGTATACAATCAAGCCCCTAGGCATGTAGACTACTTCTACAAACATTGGTGAAAGAATGGGTCGCTCTCAGGAGCTCAGTGACTCCAAGCGTGGTCCCGTGATAGGTGGCCACCTGGGCAATAAGTCCATCCGTGACATTTCCTGGCTACTAAATATTCCACGCTCAACTGTTAGTGGGATTATAACAAAGTGGAAGCCACTGGGAACAACAGCCACTCAGCCACCAAGTGGTAGGCCACGTCACATGACAGGGCGGGGTCAGCGCATGCTGAAGCGCACAGTGCGCAGAAGTCACCAACTGTCTGCAGAGTCAATAGCTAAAGACCTCCAAACTTGGTGTGGCCTTCAGATGAGCCCAACAACAGTGTGTAGAGAGCTTCATGGAATGGGTTTCCATGGCCGAGCAGCTGCATCCAAGCCTTCCATCACCAAGTGCAAGGCAAAGCGGCGGATGCCGTGGTGTAAAGAATGCCGCCACTGGACTCTAGAGCAGTGGAGACGTGTTCTCTGGAGTGACCAATCATGCTTCTATGGAAATCCGAGGGGAATGTCTGGGTTTGGCGGTTGCCAGGAGAACGGTACTTGCCTGACTGCATTGTGCCAAGTGTAAAGTATGGGGGAGGGAGGATTATGGTGTGGGGTTGTTCTTCAGGGGTTGGGCTTGGTCCCTTAGTCTCTTAAGGCGACATGTTGGACAATTTATTGCTCCCAACTTTGTGGGAGGAGTTTGGGGATGGCTCCTTCCTGTTCCAACATGACTGCCCACCAGTGCACAAAGCAAGGTCCATAAAGACATGGAGGAGCCAGTTTGGGGTGGAGGAACTTGACTGTCCTGCACAGAGTCCTGACCTCAACCCCATAGAACACCTTTGGGATGAATTAGAGCGGAGACTGCGAGCCAGGCCTCCTCCCCCGACATCAGTGCCTGACCTGACAAATGTGCTTCTGGAAGAATGGTCCAACCTTCCCATAGACACCCTCCTAAACCTTGTGGGGGGCCTTCCCAGAAGAGTTGAAGCTGTTATAGCTGCAAAGGGCGGGGCCGACTCAATATTGAACCCTACGGACTAAGACTGGGAGGTCATTAAAGGTCATGTGTGTGGAAAGGGCGGGGCCAACTCAATATTGAACCCTACGGACTAAGATTGGGGGGCCATTAAAGGTCACGTGCGGGGAAAGGCAGGTGGCCCAATACTTTTGGTAATATATATATACATGCAACTTAAAAGGTGAAACTAATATATGAGACTCATTCCATGCAAAGCAAGATAGTTCCAGCCGTGATTTGTCATCATTGTGATGATTATGGCTTACAGCTCATGAAAACCCCAAATCCACAATCTCAGAAAATGAGAATATTCCATGCAATCAATAAAACATGGATTGTACATAGAACAATATCGGACCTCTGAAAAGTAGAAGCTGCATATGTACTCAGTACTTGGTTTGGGCCCCTTTTGCAGCAATTACTGCCTCAATGGGGCGTGGCATGGAAGCTATCAGCCTGTGGCACTGCTGAGGTGTTATGGAAGACCAGGATGCTTCAATAGCGGCCTTCAGCTCTTCTGCATTGTTCGGTCTCATGTCTCTCATCTTTCTCTTGGCAATGCCCCATAGATTCTCTATGGGGTTCAGGTCAGGCGAGTTTGCTGGCCAATCAAGAACAGTAATCCCACGGTCATTGAACCAGGTTTTGGTGCTTTTGGCAGTGTGGGCGGAGCCAAGTCCTGCTGGAAAATGAAGTCAGCATCCCCATAAAGCTCGTCTGCAGAAGGAAGCATGAAGTGCTCCAAAATCTCCTGGTAGACGGCTGCGGTGACCCTGGACTTAATGAAGCACAGTGGACCAACACCAGCAGATGACATGGCTCCCCAAATCAACACAGACTGTGGAAACTTCACACTGGACTTCAAGCATCTTGCAGTGTGTGCCTCTCCATTCTTCCTCCATACTCGGGGTCCTCGGGCCTCTCCATTCTTCTCCATACTCGGGGTCCTTGGGCCTCTCCATTCTTCCTCCATACTCGGGGTCCTTGTGCCTCTCCATTCTTCCTCCATACTCGGGGTCCTTGGCCTCTCCATTCTTCCTCCATACTCGGGGTCCTTGTGCCTCTCCATTCTTCCTCCATACTCGGGGTCCTTGGCCTCTCCATTCTTCCTCCATACTCGGGGTCCTTGTGCCTCTCCATTCTTCCTCCATACTCGGGGTCCTTGGGCCTCTCCATTCTTCCTCCATACTCGGGGTCCTTGGGCCTCTCCATTCTTCCTCCATACTCGGGGTCCTTGGGCCTCTCCATTCTTCCTCCATACTCGGGGTCCTTGGGCCTCTCCATTCTTCCTCCATACTCGGGGTCCTTGGGCCTCTCCATTCTTCCTTCATACTCGGGGCCCTTGTGCCTCTCCATTATTCCTCCATACTTGGGGTCATTGTGCCTCTCCGTTCTTCCTCCATACTCGGGGTCCTTGGGCCTCTCCATTCTTCCTCCATACTCGGGGTCTTTGGACCACTGAGCAGCAGACCAGGTCTGTTTTTCTTTAGCCCAGGTAAGACGTTTCTGACGTTGTTTGTTGTTCAGGAGCGGCTTGACAAGAGGAATATGACATTTGAAGCCCATGTCCAGGATCCGTCTGTGTGTGGTGGCTCTTGATGCACTGACTCCAGCCTCAGTCCACTCCTTGTGAAAGTCCCCAACACTTTTGAATGGCCTTTTCCTGACAATCCTCTCCAGGCTGTGGTCATCCCTGCTGCTTGTGCACCTTTTTCTTCCACACTTTTCCCTTCCACATAACTTTCTATTAATGTGCTTTGATACAGCACTTTGGGAACCTCCAACTTCTTCTGCAATTCCCTTTTGAGGCTTTCCCTCCTTATGGAGGGTGTCAGTGATGGTGTCAGGTCAGCAGTCTTTCCCATGATTGTGATTCCTACTGAACCAGACTGAGAGACCATTTAAAGGCTCAGGAACCCTTTGCAGGTGTTATGGCTGAATGAGCTGATTAGAGTGGGACACTTTGAGCCGAGATTATTCCACCTTTTCACAATATTCTCATTTTATGAGATTGTGGATTTGGGGTTTTCATGAGCTGTAAGCCATAATCATCACAATGATGACAAATCACGGCTTGAACTATCTTGCTTTGCATGGAATGAGTCTCATATATTAGTTTCACCTTTTAAGTTGCATCACTGAAATAAATCAACTTTTGCACCATATTCTCATTTTTTGAGTTTCACCTGTATATAAAAAACCCTTAAGTTTGGGTGGCTAAAAATTGGCCAGTGGCAACATTGAGGACAGCACCGACAAGCCTGAAATTGGGGACACAAGTCACAGGGAGGTGTCATTCTAAAGATAACTGGAGCTGCAGTCCTTAAGTATGGATGGGTAAAATATGGCCAGTGGCACCACAGTTGGAAGGCCGGGCCAAGTGAAGACACAAGCCACAGTCAGCAAGCTATCTCCTTAAAGAACAAAAGCCCTTGGGTTGGGGTAGGAAAAAAACTGACCAGAAGCATCACAGTTAGACGGCAGCACAATGGCCAAAATGCAGAGACTGAAGCCACAGTGCGTTTTCTTCTTAAGCTGGAGTTTCAGCCCCTTTTAACTTTATTTTTAAGTTGTTTCACAAAAAATGACCTACAAAACATGCCCCATATGATGAGACCAACCCAACGCCTCATAGGATTCATCTTTATAGTGGCTAGAATCCTGATTGTGAGATCTCGGAAATCTCCCAAGAACCCTTTTGATCTTTTAAAGGCTAAATTGTCCTGCATAATGTTAAACGAACGCCTCTCTGCCACCCTGAAGGACGATATGCCCAGGTTCCAAGAACCTGGGGCCCTTGGGTTACTTCTTGGGTTACTTGCCAGACAGGGAAAGCCTACTTAGGTTTATAGAAAACCATCCTGGGTCACAGGTGAGGCTTGCTGTCTTTTCTCTAATCCCGCCCCCCCCCTTTTTTTTTTCTTCCACCATTTTCTTTTCTGTCTTCTCTGATATCCTCCTTTACTTAGCTTTCTTTTTCATTTTTTCTCAGTTTGGGTGGGACTGTGGGATCACAGGTGGACTGACAGGGTCCCTCCTCCCATTCTGAAGGCTAATCATCAAGCCAAAAGGATCGGACCTCAAGGTTTATCAATGGTGGGGGCTATCTCAGGCAATGGTGACCCCCACTTAAGAGGAACCTTTTAAGAGGCTATTATACTCATCTTCAGAGAACACAGCATCAACCCAACAGGCTGCTCACTTGACCTTTTGGTGTATAAGAATGCAAATGTAGTCATCGTGGTCTGGTACTTTCTTATCTTTTGTACTATATTGTTCCACTTTTGAATTGTGAAAACTTTAATAAAAACGATCGGAAAAGAAAACAGATTCCATATGCACGTACATTGATAATTGGACAACTGCAATGTCAGATACATGAGATGCATGCGGGGGGGGGGGTGGAGTTGAAGCACCAAAATGACTGCATTACCCGATAAGTTGACAAAGCATTTGTCATGGAATTGCTGCATGGTGTCATGGATGGAGTCAGGAATTCCCATCATAAGAATTAGGGAGTCCATTCCTTCATAGACGTAAGCTATGTCCGTTGATCGTGTTGATGTACAGCAGTGTTTCTCAACTCCAGTCCTCATGGACCCCCAACAGGTCATGTTTTCAGGATTTCCCTCAGATGAAACAGCTGTGGTAATTACTAAGGCAGTGAAACTGATCAAATCACCTGTGCAAAATAATGGAAATCCTGAAAACATGACCTGTTGGGGGTCCATGAGGACTGGAGTTGAGAAACACTGATGTACAGTAAGACGATAACCCATTATACCACACTGAACAGAAGAAGCAAAAAGTTTCTCATGAAATGCTCACTAATTCACCAAAAGGTAGAGCGTCTCTAGTACTGGCACTTTGCTGCATATGAGAATAATCATGCAATTGTACCACCTCAGCAACCAGTTGTACCCAACCAAAGCTAAGGGTTCTAGCTCTTTACTGACTATCCACTGTGCAATCCAACCAAGTGTTAAAATGGCAACTCTTATAAAATGTAACTACAAAATGATGGAAGCTAAAAGAAAAGCCGTGTTCCTTTTGTAGTGTGTTAGGTCCCTCTGTCCACTAACCAAGAAGTAATAGAGGTGATAAATCTATAAAAATACTTACAGTGGATTTTAAATTCAAATGTTGAAGATTGTACTCAGTTATAGAAAAGGGGCTCTCAGGGGTTATAAATTACATCTTAAGAGATCTTTAATGAGGATTTCAGCTTTGTGTTCCTACAACACAACAGACTGTCCTGAGAGAATGCCGACATTTTATATTTTATATAAGAATAAGTCATCAGCTGAACAAATGTCTTCATAAACTGAGTATCATGTGCAGGCACAACATAA